ATAATCATAACAAAATATGCATAATTGAAATATGATTAATAGATAAGCAAAATCCAAACAAACATCGATATCTAGAGTATCAAACAAACATAAATGTGCAAGACATATTCATACATGTATAACTAATCATCCGCTATACAAGGACTTTGCGACTACTCCCATTTCACTAACATGGCCAATAAATGTCTTAGGAGTTAGTCCTTTAGTCAATGGATCTGCAATAATATCATGGGTGCCAATGTACACTATTTGAACTCTTTGATTTTACACATCTTCTTTAACAGATAGATACTTAAATCCATATGTAATAATGAAGTACCTCGATCTGAATGATTGGCAAGTATCACAATGTTGTGATGGGTTAGTTTAATTTGACTCGAAATCCTAAATTCTATAAATTGTTGTTTTACTTATATTTTGTGAAATTGCTAATAATTCTTTGTGAAACCAAAATGTTTAAAATGCCTCTGATTGCCCAAATAATAGAATCACTCCTGTCATATTTGAAATCTCAAGTAACTCTGATGTAAAAGATTTTGAGTACCTTTCTGATTGCTAAGTACCTCCAAAAAATATATGGATCCTCTAGTGTGTTCCTTATGTGCCATATAATTGTTTTACCTATTTTAGAATGTGATTTTTCGAAATTAAGGATTTACTAAAGTATTGATTTATTGTTTATGAACTATGGCTACATGATATGTGTTCTCTGGTGACTGTTTTTACTGATAAATAAATATGTCTGAACTCTAATTTCCTGCTACCACTGGATACTGTCTGAAAAATGTTTTTCTTCGGGGTACTATGGGATCTGGTCTGAAGTCTCTGTAGGTTCAGTTCTGATCAAGCTAGTAATTCCTTATAAAGGTTCAACACCGATCAGCTGGTAATTCCATATTGCAGGTTCAGTTCTGATCAAGTTGGTAATTCTTTATATAGGTTGAGCACCGATAAGCTGATAATTCCATATTGCAGGTTCAGTTCTGATCAAGCTGATAATTCCTTATATAGGTTCAACACTGATCAACTAGTAATTCCTTATAGACCTAAGGCGACCCTTGAGTGGGCTTTTGGGCCCAATGAGCCTAGTGGTAAGACCTTATGGATCCTAAGGTACTCCCTTAGGGTGGCTCCTCTGCTATGTGCATTAGGTAAGTCCTTTTGGGCTTGAGGGCATACCCCTCAGGTTGACACCTACACTTCGGTTAGGGTAAGACCTTATGGACCCAAGGTGGTCCCATAGGTTGGCACCTATGCCCAATGGGCCTAGGGTAAGTACTTATGGATGCAATTATGGGGAATTGCATATCGGTATTCGGTTGGAGGGTATTATTGTGGTTTTAAACCATGTTTTAAACTACTAATGTTTTTAAAGGATCTATACATATTTCTCTGTTTTGTTGGAACACACTGGACTCCCCAATTTAATCTTTTGAATCTGTCTCTCTTTGAATACTTCCTTCAGACCATAAATTCATGTTTGTAATTAAAGACTTAGCTAATGAAATCTGAATTCACCGTTAGAATCTGATGATGATTGTTCAGCTAAGGAAATTATCTTTACCTTATACCTGATGGCCTATTACATTCATCTGGTAGTTTTGTATTCCTGAGCTTTCCAAAGCTCACTCTATTACTTACCATTTCAGATTAAAGAGTTTAATCCTGTGCTTTTACCGACATCAGTAAAGGAGTTCCATCGGTATTGCTTGCGGAGTATGGTGTATGTATTTAGGGAGGGGCATGTGTTGTATTATGTTTTTATATTCGAGTTTGAAATTTGTTTTACTACTCGATATTGAAGGATTTTATTTTAATATATAAATGATTTTCTGAACTTGTATTTTATCTATAAATTATTTTACGATTTTAAATGGATTAACAAAAATTTTAAATTTTTTCTGGATTTTTACTGTGTGCCGCTCCGGTGAACATAATGTGAGACTTCAGATCGGATTACCCGCATCGATCTGAGGGTGTTACACATACATTAGAAACCCTATTCGTTCCTAGGTCAGCGTATGGGCTTGTGCACTTGGGCTTCTGTCCTATGTCATACTGCTGGACCGTTTGCTGTGGACCTTGATTTAAAACCTTAATAGGATCTAGATCTTGACTATGAAATGGACCTGAATAAAATAAATTGAATTAGTGATAATAATAATAATAAATAAAAAATAAAATAAAATAATAATATAATATAATATTTTCAAAATTATATATTAAAATACTATTTTCAGAACTATATAATATATTATATACTATTATAATATAATAATTTACCTTTAAGCTATATATATAATATAATAAAAAAATATGAAATATTTATCCATATGAAAACGTGTGTCTACCGTATTTAAACTATCAATTTTGATCTATTTTAATATCTAAACTGAATTAGTATTTAAAATATTAGTTTGGTCTGTCTTAGTATCTAAACTTTTTTTTCTTTCAAAATCATACCTATTATTTAGTTTTTGTTTCATTTTAGTATCTACTGTTAAAAATTTAATGCATTTAGTACCTAAACTTTAGTTTTAATCCGTTTTAGTAACTAAACTTTCAATTTTTTCAAAACTTAATGTTAAATTTTGAACAAGTGTATTAAAATGAAACAAAAATTAAACTATATGTATGATTTAGAAAGAAAAATAAAAGTATAGGTACTAAAATGGACTAAAATTGATAATTTAGATATTACACGTATAATTTACCCAAAAATATACATAAATGATCAATTAAAACGCAAAGAAAATTATAATTTCTATACCACTCTTTACTATTTATATTTTTGAGTTTGACTTTTATTTTTTGCTTAAATATTAAACTATAGGGTGGTGTTTTAATGAGTCCATCAACTATTAAAAGTTACAAAATGGTATACTAATTATTGAGCGTCGTTTTGTTGACTCTTCGACTATTAAAATTTACAAAAATGATCATTTTATTATTCATATGTTTTATACTTGTTCTTTTTCATTAAAATATGTTGACCGAGATATGATAAAAATCTTATTCTAGAATTGTTTGAGCTATATTAATGGATCAATTATTCGTTTACATTATGTCGTTGAGCTAGTGCTTGAAATAACCAACGATGTCAATATACATCGTTAAAATATGATTCTCCCAGTCAACTGGTTAACATCCAGCGCAGATGGTCGTCAAATTTTTAGAGGAAAATGACGAGTTTGGAACATATGAATAATCGAGCGACCATTTGTAACTTTTAATAGTTAGGGACTCAAGAAAATATCATCCTATAGTTGGGGATCATTTTATAGATTTTCATAGTCGATAAACTTAACAAAACATCATCTTACGAACGAGAGACTATTTGTGTACGTAACCCTAAAAAATAAGTAAATTTTTATTTTAAATTTTAGATCAAATAAATATTTAAATAAAAATTTACAATCAAATAAGTCTTATTTTTTTGAATTGAAAATGAGACTAGAACAATAGGCATAAGAGCATGGTCTTCTTATGGTGCAATGTTTGCTTCCAGAGTTAGAATGTCTGTAAGTTCGTCTTGGGGAGAATTAACGCTAAGCAGTCTAAATGATGTCTCAGGGTAAGCTTGACCATCTTATCAGCAATCTTGTGTTCCCAGTTTTTGGAATCCATTTAATCATCCAAGTTCGATATCTGAGAAGTTCACAATTGCACATACTAAAGAGATATGACAATCAGGTGCTCCACCGTCATTCACTAGCTTTACTGCTTGGCTGCAGTCAGATTGGATCCATAGCCTTGAAATGCTCAGGCTCGACGCAATGAGTAAATCTTCATAGATGCCCCCAAGTTCCGCTTATAGGGTCGATGTTGTCCCTACATTCTTTGTAAAACATGTAATCTGATCACCATTGGAGTTCCGAATCACTCCACCAATCATTCCTCGTTCATCGATAGCTGTCACTGCTCCGTCAGTGTTTAAACATGACCATCCAAGGGGAGGTCAAGGCCATGTTAAATAGACCAATGATAATTAAATTTAGGCAAAAAGACATTAGAGGTTTATGTACTTTTTGAAAAAAAATCAATATGATCCTTGTATTATTTTCTCTCAATGCGACTTTCCCAACTCAAAAAACAAACTCAATTGTGGCTATTTGACCAATGTTTTTCGTCGTTGACCATTACAATACTGACGTGTCAGCTTACAGTGCTAATGTGACAGTCCACAGTGTTGACATGGCAGTCCATCTGCCATGTTTGATTTACCAATTTAGTCAATCTGTCATGTCATCCGCCACATTAATATGTCATTTTGGATTGTCATGTCATCACCGTGGATTGCACATCAGCATCGTGAACCGCCACATCAGCACTGTAACGGTTAACGACGAAAAAACATTTGTCAAATGATCACATTGGGTTTATTTTCTAAGTTGGAGGGTCACATTGAGAGAAAAAATAATACGAGTCACATTGATCATTTTTCAAAAATACATGGACCTCTGATGTCTTTTTTGTCTTAAATTTACTAAGGAACAACAATTGCTAGGTTGATTTTTTTTAAATAAATAATTAAAATTTTGAAAAGTTTTTTATAAAATTCTAAAACAATATTTTAAATTATATATATTTTAATATAAATATATATATATAATTCTAAATTTTTAATAAAAATAATTTATTTTTCAAGAATCTAAAATGAAAATTAGAAGATGTAGTATCAATTTTTTAATTGAAGGTGAATAGTTTTAGCCATTTAGCATTGATATCATTAGTGTTTTTCCCCCTTTAAAACTTCACTAACACATGATTGCAGTCATAGCAGCTTTACAAGCGACCATTATAACTCGGTGAGCATACCAAATTCAAAGTTTTATATAAATTAAACTATCTAGAAATTAACAATCTCCACGAACCGATTGATTCATGAACCGTATATAATTATAATAGAAATGATTTGAAACATCAAACAATCGGTTTCCCTATGCCATTCTATTGCTGTAATAAATCCATAATAATGCTCCTCTATATGTTTTTTTTTTGTAAAGTAATAACTTCAATTGATTTTGGCCTTCTTCATGCTCCAAGCATTCAACTTTTCAATCTTAACTGCTTCACTTCCATTGTTGAAAACGTACATATGGGCGGCGGCGTTAATTGCCAGTGTGGGATAAACTCTAGCTGAGATGCAAGCTTTGCCACCTCCACCAAAGCTCTCCACTATCGAATGATCTATCTGTAAAATTTCAAAACACGTTGTTAACAGTGTCGAATGAGGAATTTTCCATAGGTATAATGTCAAATAAAGTCCCTAATGTTTGGTTAAAATCAGTTTAGTCCCCATTCTTTTTTAAGCATTTTGACTCCAACATTTCATTGAGGCAAAAAATACCCTCTATAGATGGAAACCATTATTCAAAAAACATTTTTTTATTAGTGTGTGGTGATTACAAGGTAGTATATGTTCGAAAGACTTCCAACCATTTGCTTGAACTGATACCTCTAAGGATAACAATAATCTCTTTAACCACTAAAGTCGTTTGTTTTGTGCTAGTTATCAAATGATTAGAGCTCTTAAATAGAGTCTTTTTATCCTAAAATGAAACGTTATTGACTAAAATGCCCTAGTAAAAAAGAATAAGGATCAAAGTAACTATTTAGTCATTGCTATGGGCTCTTTTACCTTAAAATGAAACATTAGAAGCCAAAATGTTTGTAAAAAGGAATAGGAGCCAAAATGATAATTTTAATAAATATTGAGGGCTTATGCCTTTTCCAAATGTAGAAAGTTTGATATCCCCAATTTTCAACAACAGCTTCTTAAAATTTTCACTTGATGAGAGTGGGCCTTGTTTGTGGAAGAGTTCAGGTAATCGGATAAAGTACAAAGTGTGTAGGAAATCTTGATTTAGGTTCGAGTACTTGCCTAGTTGTTTGTCATGGAAACTTAGAAAGTAAACCAATCATTAATGGTATAAATATCCAAAGAAACTCACCAAAGTCCTCAATGACAGGCTTTGATGACGAGGGTCCACATCCAGGAAAGCCCCATATGTAGTCTTGTCGTTGTTTTGGTTTAGGGATGATCTGTGGACACAAGAAAACAAGCGAGTTCAGCCTTTGTAATCATGGAACAAATTGAAAAGGTTTGAAAATTGTTACCTGCTTTGGTCACTGCACATTAGCACCACGTATTTGTTTTGACCTTTGAATATTCTGAAAAACACTGCAGTGTTCTCACTTAAGCCCTTTGATGCTAAAACCAGCAGCCCAAATGGACCCACACCGCCTTTGACCGACGCACCCTGTTGGCTGCATAGGACCTGAGGGTTGGTCCAGCTTGGGTTCACCGCTTCAGCTTTGTCAATGTTAGGTATCTCAAATGAAATGTCTACATCTGCCTGTGTAAGATGAATTCAAACAGAGTTTATTAGCGAGACAGAGAGTAAGTTATTCGAGTTCGATTTGGTTAAAGTTTAGTCGACACTCGAATTGAATGGACTCAACTCGGGTTCTTAACAACCCTAAGCACCGATGAAACCAGCAACTCACCTGTGAAGCAGTAACACCAGAAACTTCAACAACCGATCCTCCCTTGAGCAATTTGGTAGGCAAGCTTACGTGATTAGCACGTAGCATCTCTATTTCCACAACCGGCCATTGTATCAATTGTTTTCCAGATTTGTCCAGCCAAACTTGCCTAGGAATTGCCTGCAAAATCACATGCTGTTTAGCTGTTAAGAAACAAACAATGAAAAACCAAAATAAAGGACGAAGCTTACATGAACTCCAGCCCATCCTTTCTTGATATCATCAGCGACGCTCGATGATTCATTCAACCAACCACATAATATTCTCCTGTCTTTGATACTGTCTAGGAATGTCTTGGAAGCGTAATATTTTCCATAATCATATCTCAACCCCGAATCATTCTCGACCGATCCCTTGTCCGGTACATAGACATCCCTCGAACTGTCATACGACCCGATCGTGTACAAATCGTGCTTCGTATCGTCCAAGCTGACTTTAAGAACGTGCTTGACGGACGGAACATTAACAGAGGTGTCGACGCCATTTTGGCCACGGAGTGGAACAGGGTAAAAGTCAGGGCATTCCCACATCCCAGTGTCTTGAGCCGAATGCAAAGGGGCAGGGGCTTGAACCCAATTCACAAAATCTTTGCTCTTGAAAAGGATAGCCATGCCCTGGCGATGGACCTTGCTTCCTATGAGTACCCTCCACTTCTTATCAGGGCCTAGCCAAGCAGTTGTGGGATCTCTAAACGAGCTGGCGTTGATCTTGTTCTGTGCATTTGGTTGCACCAAAGGGTTCTTGGGCGACTTCACCCATTGTCGGAGGAACGGATCGGATAAATTCCGCGGCACGGCGAGATTCTGGACTTGGTTGTTTTCCGGGTCGATGCCGGTGTAAAGCATGGCTGGTTTGCCACCAGGGAGGATGGTGGCAGAACCAGACCAGCAGCCATTAATGTCACCTGGCTGGGAAGGGAAGATAGCTGATTCATGAGGGGTCCAATTCACAAGATCTTTTGATGTGGAATGAGCCCACACAATGTTGCCCCACACTGCACCTTTTGGATTGTATTGGTAAAAAAGATGATAAAGTCCCTTGTAAACCATAACCCCTGCAAAAATCAGCAGTAAATTCAGCCACTTTTGCCATCTAAAATAAGCATCAAACTCAGGGTTTTAGAATCCAAAAGGCACTAACCATTAGGATCTGTTTCATCAAGCCATATCCATTTGCAAATTCAACAAAACAAGGAAGCAGAACAGAAATAGTTAGACATTCAGCAAAACAGATGAAAAGAAGATGGAATTCAGAGAGAGTTTGAGGTGAAATATACCATTTATCCAGTTTTTGGGAGGTTGAAAATGATAGCTGGTTCTGTAATGTTGATTTGCAGATTGAACTGTTTCAAGGTTCCTATAAACATGGTGGGAAGCTTCAAGTTCCACAATTCCATGGCTGGCCAAGAGAGCAAAGAACAAAAACAACCCAGAAATACAAGAATTTGCCATGTTTTGCAGAAATGGAGATCAGATGAGAACTGCAGGCTTATACTATCAAGGTGTATTTATACAAGGAGAGTGCATAATTTGGCTGCCCATGGATCATGAACTCATATTTAAAAATTAAAAAAATAAGAAAAAAGAAAATCAAAAGGAAAAGGAAAGAAAATTCAAAGGTTGGATGTTAGTCTATACTTTTGTGGAAATTAATTTCCTTTTAATTTTCTCATTCTCACAGTTTCATCTGTTGACTTTTATGAGTTTAATTTTCAAAGTTCTGAGTAAAAGAATGAAAACCCTGTTTTGATTAATCAAACACGTTATCAAATTGACTAACACGTAATTTAGTCTAAACAATTAGTTTATATTCTTTTTCATTAAGAATTTTTTACTTGTGTTTGTATATTTAAAAATCACCTGTTGTTAAGGTTGCGTGGCTTATATTTTCTTTTATCGTATCTGAGATAATTAAGAAGAAATTTATCTCTTTGCTCGCTGGTGAAGATAGAAGTGTTAGAAACTCGATTTGATACTATTTCTTTCTGTGAAAACTTCCTGTTGAAGAATCGGGCAAAGTAAACGAAAGAACACAAGAATTTTAACGAGGTTCGGCAATGTGCTTACGTCCTCGATGCCCTTCGATCACTCCTCTCCATCCCCTGTCCTCTTTACCGATATATTTATGAGTCATATCTTACACTTCCTATGTAAACACGAAATTTATCTCTGTAAATAGATGTTAGGGACTAAGGTTTAAAAGTAAGTTGATTAAACCCTAAATCATATTTCTTGTATTTTTTCGACATGGTAAATTTTTCTCACTTTTTCCCATATTCGTTCCATAAAATGTTTTTTCACGTTAAATCTCGATATTCTTTATTTATGAATGTTTTACATTAGTTTTTATTTTGCTTACATTATTACATGTGTGGCCATTGTTTAATTTTCACGAATATTGAATGAACATATCCATAAGTATATATATAACTAAATATGTTGGAAAAAAGTTAAAAATATATCTATGAACAATAAACAAACTAATAATAATTCAATACAATTATATTTTATTAATGAAATAATTAAATATTAATAACCATATTATACATGAAATAAATATAAATATAAATAAACCGAACAAATCTTTAATCTCCTCCGTTTAATAAACAAACATAAATTTTTATCCATATTCTTTGATCCCGTTTGTTTAATAAACAAACATCAAATTTTTTATACTCTTATATTTAACATAGCAAATAAAAAATAAAAATAAAAAGTACGAGTAATTTATTAAGCGTTTTCTATATAAATTTATATCCCTTTTATCTTTTTGTTTCGAAATAAAATGTGTAAATTTATTTAATTAATGGAAACAACTTGAATAAAGATGATGATTGAATCCCAGTAATGTGAAACTTTGGATAAAATTCTATCGGATAAGGCTAATTGTTTTCCCGTGATTATGTATAAAATCAAATACTACTTGCCTTGGTGCCCGTGGTTATTACACGTGATTAATAACATCGAACAAATCCACTGAATTTTTCTACATACCCATACACCACATATTGGTGTTAAAGGTTTTTTTTCTTCCTTTCGGCTTTATATCTTGTCCTGATTAATTAGAATCGACTCATATCATATATTTGGTTCTGGTAGATGAGTTTCTCAAAGATTGTTTTTGCATATACAATAATTTAAACTCAAAACTTTACTTAAACGATGTTAAACTGTTTACCACTTGAACTAGTATCGTTGAGGGTTAAAGCTCTGGAGATATGAAAAAATACGATTGCGTTACTTTTAATTAAATGTTTTTTGAGTTTCTTTTCCGCTAAATACATTAATTATTCAAATCGTTTCCATTAAAAGTAGTTCTTTTCTCATTTTCTTTTTGTGAGTTTCTTTAAAAATCTTTAATTGTACGAGGCAAGTTGACGGTGTCATTGATATCATTGTGATATTTATCTATGTTTAATCCTAAAAATGTATTGAAAACAAAAAAAAAATCTAATTTTAAATATTACAATGAAATCGATATAAATCCTTAATAAAACATCCTAATATTAAAAATACAAACAACGAAATAAATATTTTATTTAGGGCCAATTTGGTTCAGATTTTGAAAAACGATTTTTAAAAATGTTATAAAAACGAATTTTAAAAGTGTTATATAAAAGTGCAGTTTAAACTTAATTATTTAAAATTTTTGTTAAAAAGTAAGTTTGAAAAAAATAAAATGTCAATTATAGACATTATGTTGTACAAAAGTGTAGTTTAAATTTAATTGTTTATGGATAAAGTGTTAAATTCTGATTAGATAAATATATACATGGATAGAATCAAGATTCTAATTCTTTCAAAAAATATTTTTCTAAAATAATTAATAATTTATAATTATTTCATAAATATTTAAATTAAATATATATTAAATATAATTTATTTATTTCTAGGTTGGGAGGCTAAATACCCTCAACATTAATATAGTTCCGTTCCATGATACATGATAAGTGATAACTTATATAAGTATGTATCAATGTCATACGTACGTACATGCATATATTATTCTCATTATTTAAGTTTGTATTAATGTTATATATATATATATATATTAGGATTGAATTATAAAATATATATATTAATTTTATATTAATTTAAAACTATTAAATTAATGAAAATTGATGATGGTTGTGATTAAGCTTAAAAATAGAAAGCGTTTTATGAAGAAGAAAATAAGAAATGCATAATCTTTATCATCAATTTGGTAATATTGTGGGAATAATAGTCTTATTAACCTTCAACCGCTAGTTTATTTTTCCATCGAATCAAATTAGTTAAAGGTGTGCTTTCATGAGCCCATGCTAAATTTTCAATCAATTCTTGCCAATATCCGCGCCAGTAAATTAAGAACATAAATCCGATAGCCCAAACAAGATGTTCAAATAAGAACATCCACTCCCATATTGATAAATTACTCATATGATAAGTTGTGAAGAGTTTAACCAGAGATAATCTCTTAACCATCCCATCAAATAAGTGGGAGTTTGTCAGATGTTACCCTGTCATAATGTGATGTGTTTCCAATGTCAATAAAAAGTATCAGTTATTTCTTTCATCGCCCCAAACAAGCTAATATTAGCGCTAATGGTACGTAAATGTAACTCGTTGTTTAAAGAACTATCCAGAGTTCCTAGAGCTCCTTGTAAAGCTTGTTGTAAAACCCGTTGTCGGACTTGATTAATCGCTCTTTGTTGTTAAAAAATGGTTTCTGTAACACCCCAATTTAGGGGTTAAAAATTAAAAATTATAAAGTGGTGGATTTAATTTGGTATTTTGAAAGAAACAGTGGGTTAAATTGCAAAATTTTAAAGTTGGCAGACCGCTTTAAGAAGCGTAAGAAATTCAGTGGCTAAACCCATGATTTACCCATTTTTATTTTGGAGAGAATTATAAATCTATCCCTCGTATGTTTTCTGGAGAAATTTTTCCAGATTTTCCTTTTCATCAACCCCACTTTGAACTCTGATCTACTCGTCGTCCGACCTCCGATCGACGAGCCGAAACCACCATCGTGTTCGTTGTCAACCGAGGAACAAAATCCCTCAAACCTTTCGTCGTGAATCGTCGTCGTTCGTCGTTAATTTCAGTCAGAAGTATCGTCGGTAATAACTCAATTTTAGTTGGTTTTTCATCGATTCACGATGATCGGGTCATCCGTTTACGACACCTCCCGCACCATCGTGTTCCTTGTGCCGTTCCGAGTCCACCAGTGTCCTCCCTTTTCTCCGGCGGCGGCGACGCGTGTGGAGGTGAAGCGGTCAAAGTTTCCTATTTGTTGAAATCGAGCTCTCCGCCGTTCAAAAATTTGAACCAAGCTTTGTAAGTATCTCGAAATCGCTCAAAATAATTTTTAGAAATTTTTCTGGGAATTTAGCACTGTTCACGCTCCACCACGCGCCGCCACTGCACGTGGGGAAGGAAAAATGACTGGTTTGACCGGTTTTGTAACCCATTTGACCGGTCACGACCCGACCCGACCCGTTAACCCGACCCGACCCGTTGACCCGTTGACAGTTGACCACTATTGACCAAAACTTTGACTGTCTTTGACCGGGCATTAAACGACCTTTGACTTTGACCGAGTATACCTATCCTGACATTTTTCGACGTTCCAAATCCGATTCTGCAGTTCATTTCTCGAAATTCGAACCCGAAGGCCTTGAAATTGCCGATCAAACCCATTGACCTTGATTTTGACCGAAAATTCCAAATTTTCGAAAAGTCATATTTTATACTTTCGACGTCCTGAATCCGAATTCGAAGTCCGTTTCGCCAAATTCGAACCCAATAAGCTATCTTTCACTGATTTATCACCCGATTCGATCCGTTTATCGCAATTAAGCTCTGTTTCTGATATAATTTATGTTGATATGTATCTGAGGAATTATTGGAAGTTGAATTGAAGATCAAAGGCGTTCGAATGGAATTTTTTATGGTTGATCAGTATTGCACGAAAATCGAGATAATACTTTACTACCTCTTTATGCTTTATGGAACATGTTTATATTGATAAATGCATGAACAAGATAATGTTGGTCACTTTGGTGGAGTTGAATAATTTATACACTTGATATGATGTGGTAGAAATTCTGTAACTGATTACGGATCGAATGACTAATATAAGAGATTGAGGAATTGTTAGATTATATTACAAGTTTGTGATTAGTGATAAAGAAATCATCCCTGTATCTGCAACTTATAATTTATTTCATCAAAGGTTATATGTTAAAGGTACTTGGATGAGAAATTATGAGAATACTCCGGTAGGGTAAAAGTACAAAAATACCCTTATGTTATAAAAAGACAAGATTTGAATATAGAAGTTAGATAAAAGGATTTTACAAACATATTAATCTGATAAAAATATTGATGTGTATAAGAAATGTTAGTTTTATTTGGAAATTATGGATAACCGGTTTTAATCCTATGAGAGTTTGTGAAGGATACTAGAAGTTTGTTAAGAGAACCGTTTCAAGATCAGAGAGTATTCAAGAAAGCAATTAATCATTGGATCTCTAAATTATATTATTTTCGTTAAGAGCTAATATTGAAATTATATGGTTAAGAAATTACAGAAATTCCCTTAAGAGATAGAATAGTTTGAGTTGACTCTGAATGAGAAAATACTTAGGGGATTCGTACTTAACTCGATTAAGTACGGATTTAATTTTTAAGATCCTGACTTAGTGCAGGAAAATTCCTGATATTTCGTTTGTAAAATCTGAGAAGACACTTGACCCGTAAATATTCGAATAATGAGTAAATACTTAAAGAATAATTTAACGGGGGTATTTTGCTGTCAGAATTATTCGAAAGGACTGAAGTAAATGATAAGATTGAATTAAATAATAAGACCGGATGGCAGGAAAAGATTAAAATACCGTAGATCTATAAAATGACCAAAATACCCCTGTAATGGAAATGACCCAAGAATACCACCAAGCTCAAGAATGATTGGATATCTTCGAGCTCTGAAATAAATAGAATAAAAATGAATACCAAAATTACCAAAATACCCTTATGGCCTATATTAAGTAAATGTCTTGGATTAATTAAGGAATCCAAGTAAGCATAGGTATTGGACTACCTTTAAAGGTAATGGAAAATAGTTTAAGTGAGTAGATCAACCCTAAAGCTATGTCAATACCTGAATGGAATAGATATTACTAGAACATGTATTCGTCTTCTCAAGTTTGGCTCAATGATAAATTTTGGAAGTATTCAGCTCAGCTCAACTCTAGATCGTATTCAGTACTAAGAATTGGACGTTTGTTCGACAAATCAACCACGAAGACCAAATTGAATGGAATGGAAGTACAACATGTATCTGAAATTCAGGAACGTTTGAATTACTCTGGAAAATCCTGAAGTAACTGGAATGGATATGACTGCTAAATGAACTAGGTAACCTCAATGACTGAGGATTTAATAAGTGATTTGGATAAGTCTGGAAACTCTGATGAGTTTACGTAGTGTACAATTACAATGGGTTATGAAGAAATTAATCAAGTACGTCAGCATTCCATGATATTGTGGAAACGTGGAAATGAAATAAAGACATTGGAAGATTTATTCAGCGATGATTCCGAAAATGGTCTACGGATAAGAATTTGTGGTATTAAAAAGTAAATACCTTAGAAGTAAAATGAATTGACCAGTCGACATAGATTGTTAAGGTTCTGAATCTTTGTTCTCAAGTTGTTCGATTATCTGATTAATTGACATGGATGTATAGGATTCTGAATACCCTTATGATTACGTAAAACTTCTGAAAACTGTCCGAATAAGATAATATCCTGAGAATTCACATTCTGAATAACTGATGATTCTGTCAGTTAATGAACTCTTCCAATAGTGATTCTAAATTCCAATATTCTATCGATATACTGAAGAACTGTGTTTCTCTGCCTGATACAGTACCTCTAAATAATACCTGTAAACTCTGGTGTGTTCCCTACTCACATGAATATTTTATCTGATTTTCGATTTGAATTCTGATCTGATACTTAACATGGATTCTGATATGATATCTGACATGGATTCTGATATGATACTTGACTTGGATTCTGATCTGTTACTTGACCTGATTTCTGATATGATACTTGACCTGATTTATGTTTTGATTTTAGATATATCCGTTTACAGACGGAAAATGTTTTAATTGGGGGGTATTGTTGAATGAAGAAGTTTCGCAGGTTCCTCGGCTTTGTGCTCAGGGCCTTATATGATATGTTGGGTTGGGTGTATGGTTCTGGGGCACCTACACATTATGATGTGTTGGGATGGGGGTATATATATATGTTTTAAAAAGATCTGAAAAGTTACATGGTTTTTGGGAACACACTAGATAACCTATTCTGATCTCCTGAACTCAGTCATCCGAAACATTTGTCTGAACTGAAAGCTCATTGTCTATTACCATCTGAAATATCAGTAGAATCTCTGCTCATCATAAAAATCTATAAATGTTCGGAAATAATAAGGATATGTATGTTTATCTGTATCTGCACGTTCTTCAACATTATCTGGTAGTTATGTATTACTGAGCTTTTCGAAGCTCACTCTATTACTCACCTTTTCAGGTTAAAAGAATTGTATCAGTGCATCTATTGACTTCAGTAAGGGAGTTTTTCCGGCGTTGTTGCAGAGTATGGTATATGTGATTAGGGGGCATGTAATTGTATTTTGATTTATATACGAGTCTGGAAATCTATTTTATTTTTAAATAGTGACAAATGATTTTATTAGTTTACATGTAATTTAAAAAGTTTTAAATTTTCCGCTATTTTTACAGTGGGTCTCTCCGGTGGCCCAAATGTAACACCCCGGATTGGATCTGGTTACCCTTATCGGTCTGTGGGGGTTACATTTAGTGGTATCAGAGCTATGGTTTGAGTCAAAATTTTTCAAGTTAGACCGGCCGGTCGAATGTCAAAATATGTCTGATCAATATATGCCCCTAGACTACAATCGTACTTCTCTGAGCCGAAACTCCAAGGTTGAGTCTCTATCTGTAACAAGCGAACCGAAATTTCTATCTGTTAAGGTTATACTTGTATAAAAAGGAATACCGGTAACATCTGTCTAAACGCTCTAAAGTATCTCACGAGCCATGTGAGAGTTAATTATCTGAGAAATTTTGACTCGACTCCGGAAATCAAATTGGGATATGCTACTACTCTACGAGCCTATTCTTATGACCAAGACTGAATTGATTACTCAAGGAAATTTTCGTTCGGATTCTTTTATTAAAATGAGAGAAAGTTCTGATAAGAAGGTATATTCAACTGGTTAAGGATTAGTGGAGGATCCGTATTTCTATAAGAGCTACATGGAAGATATAAAAAAAACTTATGGAAGTTTCATTTCTGCAATAATGTGACATGAATAAATTTCGAGGATGAAATTCTTTTAAGGAGGGGAGAATTGTAACACCCCAATTTAGGGGTTAAAAATTAAGAAATTATAAAGTGGTGGATTTAATTTGGTATTTTGAAAGAAACAGTGGGTTAAATTGCAAAATTTTAAAGTTGGCAAACCACTTTAAGAAGTGTAAGAAATTCAGTGGCTAAACCCATGATTTACCCATTTTTATTTTGGAGAGAATTATAAATCTCTCCCCCGTATGTTTTCTGGAGAAATTTTTCCAGATTTTCCTCTTCATCAACCTCTCTTTGAACTCCGATCTACTCACC